ATCCAAAGTGCGGACTACGAGGCGGCCGCCTTTCAAGCTGTCAACGCGGTGGCTCCTCAGGCTGATCCTGCTCCGCTTCAAGAAGGTTTTGGGCTGGGAGCACATGCTGGCGAGCTGCGATAAAAGGCAATGTCAAGCTCTTTGGTTTCAGTTTGGACAGCCGAGAGCAGCCCGTTTAGCTGACTGATCTGCACTGTCATTGAGAGAGTATCTCTATCTTGGTGCTCATGCAGGTCCTGGCGGGCCCGGATCCAACGCAACTCGAGCGAACGCTGCTCGGACTGAAAGGCAGCGGAGATGGCCTGCCACAAATCCGCAGCCGGTGAACGGGCATTGCGCCGTTGTTGGCGCGCCTGCCAGGCCTTGACGGCACTAAGGGGATCAGTGGCAACACGCAAGGTGGGACCTTGGGTAGCTGCGATGGCGACGCAGATGGCCCACACTTTGGCCTGGTAAATATCGGCAAATGGGTTGGCACCTGTCCGGCAGCAAGTGCTGCACCTTCGTGCGTAACGACCGCAAAACCCCCCAGCCCAAGTAGGGCAACCGAGCCGTCCGTCCACACCTCTTCACAAGAGAGCCGGAATGCAAATTCAGGGACGACAGCAGCATGGGGTTTGTCACGGATCAACCCAGCTGGTTGGTGCTCCTCAGGGAGTGTTAGTTGCTCCCATCAAGCCGTGGCAGGCTTCTGGACCGCAGGCTGGTACTTCGTCCAAGGGTCGGAGAAAGCCCAAGGATCTGGCTGCTCACTTGCGAGTCCCGGCGTAATCAGATCAACATCCTCATCCTCAATGACCCCAGCGGTCAAGCCCAAGCCACCTCCCCGCAAAGAACATGCGGATCCTAATGAGACAGCAGACAGCCCGCAAAATCCTCGACAGAAGCATCAAGGTGGAGGGCAAGGGCCATGGTACAGCCAGTCCAGCCAATACCTGCTCCCATCCCATGAAGCCCCCAGAGAAAAGGTGCGTGACAGCAAAGGGCAAAGCGCAGGCACATCCAAATGAGCTGGTCCGGCTGAATGGCGGCTGTTCGCTGACCTCCCAACAATAAGAGTTGCACGTTGTGCGCGCCAAAAAAAGCTCCAGGTGTAGACAGAAGCGACGCAAATTCAGGTGCGAAGCGCAACACAAAGCTGCAGACCAGGTGGGCCCGTCGCTGTTCGCCGAAAAGCTGAGGCAGGCCAGGATCAATCAGTCGGCACCTAGCCTCATGATCAGTGTGCGAGACCACATCGAAGTAGATGAGGTGCGCTCCAAACCAGGTCGCATCCGGAGCGTGGGTGAAGGCCTGAGCCTCCAGACACGCTCTGCGGATGGACTCCTTGGCCTCATCCGTGAGGTGACGGAGCACCTCGCGTGCCGAGATTAGCAAGACCAATCACGCAGCCCCGCGGAGCCACCACCGCTTGGTAGACGCCAGACGCCTCTTGCGGAGAGGTCGCCTGGCCCCGGCTGGGCAAGCCAGAGGTGAGTCGCTGTGAGCCGAAACACCTAGTAAGGAACCATCATCATGGGTGAGCTCGTTTTTTTTGGCAGGTAAGCCGTTGTAATATGCCCAGAAATTCAGAATCTAGTCCATGCTTGGGGAAATATAAAAGGTAATACAACAACTAAACAAAAACCAAGGGGTGGGCATGGTTCGCCAGTTCTATGCTCCCAGTTCAAGCAGAAAAATGCCAAACATCTCCACGAAATCCAGTTCTTAAGAAAGTAAGATTCAGGATCCTGGTTCCTGAACTGAACAGGAATTCTCGAGAAGACCCCCCCATCCCAATTCCCTGCGCCAACCACTCGTCAGGCGCAAGCTACAAGCGCGCTGGCGGCACCCAAGGGCATCTCCCGCCAGGGGCGCCCGTTTGCGCTGTTCCTGCGCAATGCCTTCTCAAGCTCGCTCCGTCCCCAAGAAATACAGCAGAGGTCCCAATATTTGCCCTTAAGCATCATTGGACAAGTAAGGGCTTTCTTTTGGATGGCATTCAAATGGGTGTGGCTCTTTTTTGAGTCGACCCTGTTTGGGGTTGGGTGTTAACAGAATGAATACCAGCCGCCCATAGGTGTCATAAGATGTAATATCCAATTTGGAGACAAACAAACAAAACAAACATGACAAACAAAAAAAACACAAGAGAGCTTCGAGCATCCTCTGGGTAGGTCTCAGGATATCCACGTTTTGGGATGTGAACGAAATCCTGCGTCATCAAAAAGCCACCCGTGAAAGACAAGCCAGCCGGAGGGGGTAACACACAGCAAAAGAGCCAACGAGAGAAGCGCATGCAAAGCTGGGATTCACGAAACAGGCTCCTTCACGCAGGAAGTATTAAGTAGTCCAGTACCATGAACAATACTCCCACGACAGGGCTCACCATGTTTCTGGAATATCATTTTGTGTGATACCAAAGTGGGATTCCTATCCCCATGACCATTAGAATGTCAAGGGATTTGTCATATCACAAAGGCTGGCTCCGAAACCAAATATTTGAAAACCATGGGCACACCGAAACAACGCGCAACCCTTGGTCAGCCTGTCCTGGGCGCACGGCGGAAGCCCGGAACCTCAAGGTGCAAAAGATCTGATAAGAAAGCAAAAAGGCCCCTGTAGGTTCCAAGGAAGCTTCTTGAAGCAACCCTTGAGAAAGATTACCTACAATAGGAAGCAAAAGTCCCCCCACCCCTGAGTCGGGAGCCAAGGATAATTCCTTAAAACTCAAGCGGAACTGGCTGGTTCCCTACTGTTTGAAAGCAAATCGAAGGGATATGCTTTCTGGAGGAACAAGACCAACTGCTTCCGTAGAGGAAACTCAAAGGACAGGGCCAGGGTAAACTGCCCAGCCGGCCGGCAGTAGAGCCCCATACCTTGAACCCATGTTCACTTGTCGGGTGCGCACCTGAACAAAAAAACATGGTGGTAACAAGTCGAGCCGTGACAAAGGTGGGCAACTCAAGGTACCTACATGCGGAAGCTGTAAGTATCATAAACAAACGCAATGGGTGACTTTACATCAATCCGAGCTAGTGCAAAGGGCCTTCACGCATGATGTCGTATTTGTTTAGAATGTTGCCCACCCGCAATCAGTGTGCCAGCAAATAGCTGTCCGATGCCTTATGAACAGCTAGTCTTCAACGAGCAAGCGCGAGCTTGAAGTTTTAACAGAAGCAAAGAGACATCTGCAAATATACGATAAATCCAAAGCCTGAACCCTGAAAGAACGCAGCCCCAAGTAAAAGGCCTTCATCATGGCGAGCTTGTTTTACCCCAGAACTGGTGAGCTCGCCAAAGAAATGCCCCATGCGTTGGAGCATTCCAACACTATCACAGATGCATTGCAATCACGGCCAAGACCCTGATCCTTGCCTCATAAAGTGCAACATGTTCCCAAGCTACCAATCCGTTGCCAGTTGCTCCTTCAATCTTGCAGCTGGTTTAATGGTTGCGTAAACTCTTCGACCTCCTGGCGTGCTCCTTATATGGACGGTGCAAAAGTGCACAAAATGGGCGATGTGCAAGCAAGCCTCTTCTTGAAATGAACGAGCCTCCGTTTTCTCCTGGCAAAGAGAAACTTCTCTGTTGCGGTTGTTCAAATCGACCTAAGCCAAGATTCAAGAAGCGTTTCAAACATTCATCTGTGCCATGGTAAACAGGCATCCTGACTCATGTTTTGTTCATTTGGTTGAGTGTGTGTTGGTATGTGCAGCGTGTGCGCGTGCGTAAGAAGCATGGGTGGTTTGTGTGCGTGTGCGCGAGTGTTCGATCACGGAGTGATCACCCTGCTTGATTATGTTTACATTTGAGAAGCAGGAAGCCCCAAGAACGGTAGTCTGTTGCGGTCACAGCGCAATCCAATTTGGGATGGGCAATGGGCACACGTTTCCTGTAGATGAGGAGCATGTTCCCTTCAATCCACAATTCACACTGGCAAGCTGAGCCCGTGCCCCTGGCAACTGGCTGTCCCTCGTGCAATACCATCATTGATGTCTCTCTGTAGGAAGTAGATGCATTTTGAACCCCTCGAAGAGTTGCGCGTGCACCGCCTAACCTCAATGACTCAAACCTGAAAGTCCTTTATTAAAACAACAACTGCAGGAGTCCGAGCATCTGTCCGGTCAGCCCCCGGGCCTTCTTTTGTTCTGCCTGGCCATGCGCATTGCCACAAATACCCAGTCGTGCGGCGAACAGCCTGGCCTGAGCCTCGCGGCCCACAACTTACTCTGAACTTTGGAGGACACAGGTGGATCCGCTTTCAATTTGTCGGAATCAGTTTGCTTCTCCAAACTCGATATTTTGGCTCCATGGGCCTGGTGGTGAAACCTTTGATAAGCAGTGCAACCTCAGACTGCAAATTCCCTGCGATCGCGTCCTTTGCGAATGCCTAACGTTCATTCTCATATTGGAGGGATGGAAACCACTGAGCTCCGCCTGTGTTGGGCCGCGTAGTGCTGCGTTCACAGCATCCGTGCTGTGAGCAATGATCATCGACGTGCGACAAACTCCAACAAGGAAGCTTGGAAATCGGCGTGCCTTCGGGCAGAATGCTGTTCTCTGCTGCATGGGAACATCTGAAGGCAAGAAACCCTTTGCAAATGGCCTTGGCTACAAACTTGACGTGTCGAACATGTCTCAGCTGATCCGCACTGGACATAAGGGGATTACCTGCTGGGTTGCCAAGATGACAGCGGTTGTCAGACCTGGAAAGCAAAAGATCAAACACTTGTCGCAAAAGTGCGGGGGGCTCCCTGACGCTGCTTAAGGGTCGCTGAATTGACGCCAGGTTGCTCTCTTTCGAGGGAACTACGTGCACCTGGGATAGGTGCACTATGTATAGTATGTAGGCGAGCGCAGACACAGCCCCAGATATCCAGTTCAGTACCCTCAGCCAAGGGAAACTATGCTTGGGGCACGGAAACTCTCCCCGACCAAGAATGGTTATCCTTCATTCCCCGGGGAGTGCCTCCAGAAGCACCTCTGAAGCAGAAAGTTTTGACCGCTATCAATTCCGCCTCTCGCATCATCTGGGCAACTTCCTCCTGCAGTCTTCGCTCAACCTGCGGCCAAGTTCGCTGAACCCAATGCAGCAGCTGGATTCCTTTGCTTTTGGCTTGCCGCCACGAATTAGGACGGGTTTTGGCTCCGAGGAATCAAACTGCTCCTGGGAACCTTAGCAAAAGGCAGGTTGTAAAGCGCCAGGATTTAGCTGGTGAATCAATGTTGCTGGTCATGCCTTTCTGTTCTCAGGTCCCCGTATGGATGGTATCACGGGAAACCCAAGGCTGACCAAGAGAAAGAAAAAGGAACACTAAAAGGACACAGAACCATTGGCTCCTATTCTCGTTTGCGAACACACCCATATCAAGCCAGCACTTGCTATTGCAACCCAACAAGAGCGCCTGGACCCATCCCACACCTGCGCAAAAGAAGCACCACGGCTAATGAGCCTTGTGGCCGTGTAGTTGGACAGTCTACCCAAAACCAGGTCAAAACAATCAAGGCGGCCGTACCTAGTTTCGGTTGTCATCCCGTTACACTTCCACTCAGTTTTTGAATGTGGTTGCCCTGCTCCAACTCAGTAGCATTCGAGTATACTAGGTCATATAGGTCTAGGGACAATAAATGGCTGATTCCCTCTCGACCTCGAACCTGCAAGTGCAAGATCCATTCAGGGAAGATACCCAGAAAACACCAAGACCATGGACCGAAACTTGAAGGGACACCATGCTGAGACAAGAGTTCTGTTTTGTTTACGCAGCAGGCAGGCATGGCAGAATTTGTTAGCTTGGGAACACATGTCAAATGGTCAATCAGCCTCATTGCCGGGGTCTGTACATTTCCATCCTGCCAGCATCACCCTATGAAACATCTTCGCTTTCAGTTGACCCTTTCATGAGAAGGCGTTTCACACCACCCCTAAGTTGCAGTTCTTTCAGCCAGGTCGTTATCTTCTCCTCATTGAGCGAACCTTGGCGGACACGTGCCCCAAGGTAATTCCAGTCAACAGTTAACCGTGTTAATTACACCTGGCGAACACAGATTTTTGTTTGGAGACAACACCACGTGCAGAGTAAAGAAGCGGCTCTGATAACCAGAGCTAAACATAAAAACACTGGGCCAAGCAGTCTGGTCTTACCAGTTGCCTTCCCACACCTGGAAATCAAAGCTGAACTGTTGGGGTTGCCTAAGCTGACAACCGGCAAAGGGTCAGACCCAGTCGATTTGTGTGGAATAAGGTCGGTGCAGCTTGCTGACTTTCCCAAATGCACTGGAAATGCAAGGGGGGGGAACCGTTTGGGTTGACAAAAAGTACCAGACTCAAAGACCCTTCAACATGGGGCGCTGTGCCCAGTTTGGCTCTAAAGGGTCGTGAAAACAAATCTGGGTAGGCCCAAAACTGGCATATCCCCAACAGCCGAGGAACCCGCTGCAATCCTGCAGAAACCTACCTGAAATCTGCTCCAAACCACGGCAGAACCTATCTGGGATGAGACCCGATAGCTTTCAGCTGACGGTGACAAGCAAAAACATCACCACTGGGTGTCTGGGGCCGCGAGTGACATAGTGACCCGCGCCTCCCATGGCGGGAAGTGCCCGAACTCCCGAAGCACTCCTCAGGCGTTTGGTTGGCGCCGTCTTGACCAAAGCACGACTTTGGGCACCGCACTTAGGAAGCGAGTCGCAGGAGTGAGCTACAATTCGGGTTACCACGCGAATACTAAGTCGCCTGCCACTTCAAGAAGTTGGAGTATGTGTCAATCATTTGCTTGAAGCCTTTATCGACAATATGTCTCGCAGCCCAGCAGAAAGCTCAAGAAGAAGACTGCCAAAGTTGCACTGACAACGTGGCGTGTCTCTCTTCGCCCGGACAATACTGAGTCAAGTAGAAGCGATTTTGCTTGCTCAACCGGGGTGCCTCTTGTTCTTAGGCTTCAAAGGTGGCCGGCAATGTCAGTGAATGCAACCTGGCGGATTTCTGGTGGTTTTCTCCCAACAAATAAAGTATCCCCTTTAGTCAACAACTCAAAATGCATCACCCTTCGCAAAAAAATCAACCGGGTGGTTGTACTTGAAACCATTTGTGGGGAGAAGACCACAGAAACCTAATGTATCAGGAAAAGTTCGCAAGGAAGCGGTCTGATCGAAGCGTTCAGAGATCCCTTTTAGGTAGTAGGGGATGGACATGTCAACTTGTTTAAAATCGGCAGGTCGTTGTTGGTGAATTGAGTCAATTGGAACTTGTGGCGCTTCTCAAAATTGGGGAACCCCTCAAATCAACTGGCTGCAGCGCGGTTTAGCCTCAACGAGCATCCCAAATTCAAAAATGGGGTCCCTGAAAGCAAAGGAACACTCAATGGCGGGGGGAATCTCGAACATATAAATAACCAAAACCCCAACTGCGCAAAGACAAGCCTGACCACGGTGCGCGACAAGGACTTTCAGTGAAAGGATAGAAAAACCCAAAAGTGATGTCCCAGAAGGTGATGTTTTGATCATTCAACAATAGCATACAGAACCCTCCGAAATTCAAAATGGCCCTAGTTTCGACACGTAGCCACATCAAGGAATCCTTGTTCGAGAAGTTCCGCACAAGCCCAAATTCTCTTTCAACAAGCCTTTCTCACGGATTGCCTAGGTCATCTGCCCCAAAACAATTTTCCAAAGATGCAGGGTAAAACAACATGCGAGCAGGTTTAAGTCAATCTGCCGCAAGGTCAGCCATTTTTCCTTTGGGCGTGTCTCAAAATAAGGACCCCCTTTCTGGAATTGTTTCAGAGACAAACCCATAGGACACCGCCAGTTTGTTGCGGCAAGTATGAGACAAACCCATTTTCGCGTGTGATTGAATTTTTGTTTGGGATGGTCTTCAAGGGCAATCCTTGAAATCCACCGGAAGCCGCCCATCGGGGGGCCCCAAATCCAACTTTTAAATAAACCTATGTCTCCAAGTGGAGACATCCAGGTCAGGACTTTTCGCAATTCAAAAGGGGTTTGGGTTGGGGATGGTCTCGTTTCGCAGGGATATTACTTCCTTTTCTCAATGAGCTCTCCCCAAACTGGATGCTTAGCTTCTAAGGATGCGCGGGAGCTTGCAGAATCCACCCCAAATACTTGCTGAATGTGGAATTTCGGTCAACCGTTCACCATGTGATGAGGGTCGGGGTCGCTCATCTTTGAACAGCCAAAGAGTAAGCCTGCTGGATTTCCCCTTCAAGAGTGCCAAAAGAGTGCTGACCGAGCTTGTCAAGTGAATCGACAGGGGCATCAACCCCTCATGTGCCTGTATGCTCCCCTTTCAAACCGAAAAGGGTTCGAACGAAAAGGCGACCTCACTTGGCAGCACAGACCTGAAATACGAGATTCCCTACGGTAAATGGGGAGGGAGTGGGCGGATCCCCCCTTTCGTTCTTCTAGTCTACCCAACGGGAATTGAGACAATATTCAATAATTTAGATTTCCAGCGGATGGCCTTACTGCCCAGAAAACACACATCTTCCCAAAAAGCTCAAGCTCAAAAGATCCAACCAACTAGCTAGTCAACTGCCGCCTCTGAGCCCCCTGCCCGCCAGAGGTAGCAGCACACTGCCCACTGAAGCCTGGCGCTTTCTGAAAACCACGCCGAGGCCGAGGGCTCAAGAACCTGAAAGTCCCATACCTCCAGTCGATGTCCAGCAAACGCATCATGATTGCTGCTGGTGGATTTTGAAGGCACGACCAACCCAAGAAGGGAACAAAAGGGCACCACGGAAGGTTCAGGAAGTGGGAATCCTTGAGCTTCCGTTGAAAAGAAAAGCGGGTCACCTGGTGGACTCATGGTGGGTCTGACGACGAATTTGGTCAGGGCATCAGTGAGGGAAGTCTTTAAATAGAGGCTCCATCTGATGACTAGGTGTCTGAACAGGGAGGGGGGGTTTGGCTCAATATGTCAACCAGAAGGGAACAAGGGGGAATCACCAAAACAGCCAAAGTGTAAAGCAAAATATATCAGGATCAGGTTTGTATAAAAGTGCATACTTGGTATCAAAATTTCAGAATAACACATATTTGTTTCCATTAAGTTCACCGTCAAGTTCAATGTTCCGTCACCTAAATTCAACAGCAATCTGAGGCGCATCTCATATGCGACGCGAAGCATCAAACGCAACTCGTGCCAAACTGGGTGACTATCTTTCTCACACCCCAAGTGGTAGGCATAAGCTATCAGTATCTTTCCCGCTGTTTCTCAGTCTACTGGATGAGTTGTTCATTGCCCATTCTTTTCTTGCAGTGCCCTTTTGTGACACCAAACGCTTCCCCTTTGCTTTGATGGCCCCGCGGAAAGATTTAGATCATGAGGTTCCTGGGCGGAAGTTGCCAAAATAAGCCTAGAAGAGGTCATCCCCCAAACAACATGGTTGGAGTATTATTGTTGTATTTTTTGCCAAATGCTTCGCAACATGCGGGGGAATGTTGCGCAACATGTCTTGAGGTTGTGTAGTGGGGAGTGGGGCCACCAGTGGCTGTGATTAGTTTGTGAGTGGAGGCAACATGCGGTTCCTATCTGAACAGGTAGGTTTTGGTACCCACATATTATACATATATATATATACTACACGTCTTTTTGGGGACGATGTAGAAGGATAAGACGCATGAACCGCCCGGACGCTTGAGGCGCCTCCAGCTTGACAACCTCTGGCATCAAAGGCACATTTTCCTCGTGGAACTGAAGACACCTGGCCGCTGACAGAGGCTTTTCCGTTGCACCCAAGGCATCCCTTGGTTGGAGACCTCAGTGGCCTTTAGGTTCTACCTGAGGCCCAGTTTCATCCACACTCAGTTGGACTGACCTATTGAGTTTACTGGCCACAAGGAATGCCGAGTCGGCGATGTGAATCATGTACTTTGGTAGGAAACCAGAATCAATCTGCCCTTGGCTGCCTAAGCGTCACAATTGAAGTCCGGCAGAGATGTAAGATGTCGCTAAACGTTGACCCGAGTGAGTTGAATGGCCAAAAAAGGTGACTCGTCGTAGATGGATGGGAATCAGCCACCTTGGCAATGCGAAGCCAAACGAAATCAACCACTGTTTGATTCATAGGAGAAACTCCCATCTTAGAGGGTAGCCGGATCACCTTTGGGTGCAACAACCATCGAAATATGCCAGGTTTATTCATCCACACGTGGTTGGGCGTTAACAGGTTGTCCAAACAAACACTTTGCTAAATAGTTGGAAACCTAGGCTTTTCACATGCGAAGCTCAGCAGAAACAAAACAAACAAACACGGACTGTCAAGCATGCCTACCCCCAAAGTATGTTTAAGCGGCATATGCGCTCCACACCGCCAGAATCCATCGCTGGAAATGCCTTTGCAAAAAGGGGTCCTTCTTCCCCGACTTCGGAGAAAGTCGGGACCCGGCTCCTTCCAATCCAATTGGCAAGGGAACCGGATTGGGCTTTTCTGCCACAAAGGAGGGCGTGGGTTGCTGCACCCCAGTCAAACTGCGCCTTGGCACCCACCCTTTCAGTGCTCTGAACAATTCTCTGAGGGCTTTGATTCAACAAGTCCCAGCGGGCCTTCTCAAACACCCGCCCTTGGCTTTCTTCTTGTTGGCTGAATCTGCACAGCACGTGTTGTGCCACTCAAATGGCCTACAACATGTCGAGTCCTGGAATTCGGGGAGAGAGGACTTGAAAACCTGCGCGCCTGGTCTCTTCGCCCTCCTGGACCAGAAATCGGATGCGGCTGGCATAATGCAGCTTCCAGCGCCTGCCAGTGGCTTGGCCCAGAACCCCGAAAACGCCCTTCCATATCTGGCGTACACCGAAACAAAAGTGTTCTAGATGTTTTCATATTTGGTCCAACTAGCCTAGCCAAGAATACAGCGTAATTTGTGAGGAGACTCCAGACTTCATGAGTGGATTGGCCCCAACGAGTCCAAACCATCAAAATTGCCGAAACTAGGGAAGTGAGCCAAAACACTGAGCAACCTGGGCGAAAACGAGCCACCTGAACAACTTGAGCAACGCCAACTTGAAAAACAACCTGAACAGTCTGAAACCAAACCGCCTTAAAAGCCCACTATACTGAAACTACTTGTTGTTGCAAACAAGCGCGACCTAAACAGCTGGACACCGGCAAACAACAAAACCACCAAATCAAAAACAACACAGGGGTTCTAACATCACCCCATCAAAAGAGACTCCAGTAACATTAGCCAGAAAAGTGATGGCTGAACCCCCCTGCAACAAGTCATGAGGCACTCAGCACCACCACGACCAATAAAGGAAAATGGACAAATAACGTAAAATAAAACAAAACTTAAGCCAAACTGCTACCCAAAGACGGCTTGGCCATGTAAATTGAGAGACCAAAGCAGCAACCCACCAAACACCCTGATCCCAGACTTGCAGGGGATTCTCGCGGGAGAAACAGGGGCACCTGGAAACGGCTCCAAAAAACAAGAAGACAGGGCACCACTGCGTTTGAAGGAGAAACCTTTCCAACAAAAGCTGAAAAATGATGGACAAAACAAAAACCTATTCCAGTTTACACACATCTTTCCCATGTTCTGCTTTTAGCCAGGCTCAGCGAGATACCCGAAGTAGGCTATTTGGAGTAGGGCCCCCGCGCGCACCGAGTCAGTGCCCCTTTTTCTGCAAAGCGCAGGCATCAACTGCCGAGGCGGGCTGCGGGCTCCGGGCCAGGTGCCACCTGCGCGCACGACACCGGGTGGTAGCCGCCCAACTTGGGGGGGAAGCGGGGATTTGGGATCAATCAACATCTGGGATGAAAATGGAATACATTTCCCCAACCCTGCTATTCTCAAGATTCCTTGAACAATTTGTCAGAACGCGAATCTGGCAGTGACATCCACCGACAAAAACAACAAGATCAAATCATCAGTTGCCTCTGGCTGGAAGTGTCCCCCAAGCTGCAATCAGGTAAAAGGTTCATTTCTGTTGTCACCGACACAAACGAAACGCATACTTTGATAATGGCTGAAATAACAAAAAAGAGGTGTGGGAATAAGCCCAGGCGATATCCGGAAGCCCCTGGAAGCCTGCAGAACCCAACCATGAAGGTTTCTCCGAACCGCCGGAGCGCACATTTTGGCAGAGACCGCGAAGCTTTCAGGTGTTGGGAAAGGCAAGAAGCTCCAGAAGTATTCCCAACCGCATGTCCAACAACATCGCCCAAAGTTCAAGCCCCAGGAAACTCGGAACCCGCAGGGACTCAAACTCAGCCAGGGGAAAAATTATGCCAACAGCAAGCAACGTATGCGGTTCCCGGAATGGACTTGGACAATTAGGGTTCGCCCGCCTGTCTTTCCGGGGGGAAAGTTTAATGAGTCCCCTGCATCCCTCAAACTGATAGCAGACTATTGGATACTTTGGTTGCACCTCAAATAATCTTTGGCGAGGTTCTTCTAGTCCCAGCAACAGGAGGATGAGTCTTGCATCGCGCAATGCGTCAGCCTCTCATCGCACAGTGACTGACTTGCAAACTGCTCGCAAAACAGGGTCCTTATGTGTCCCATGCTGGGTGATTCAAACAGCAGTCGTTGGGCCGAGTTCAATCGAAAGTTCCTTTTGGTGGGGCATGTTCGAAGTTGAGTAATTTTATCAACGCTCTTTTGCTCAAGCAGCTGCAATATCAGAATCAAGTTCGGTCATTCGAACCAAGCCAACCAAATCATGCAGAATGAACCAAACAACACAACGCTTCCGAATCCTGAAGCATAAAGCAAGCTACGCAAAACAATAGGGTCGAACCCTTCGCGCAGTCATGGATCAAGGCATGTTGGTAAAACACAAAAAACACCTTCCAGAGGCAACTCCACAGAAAGATGAATGTGCTGCTCAAATGCGTATCTGGTGGCCTCCAATTTAGCCTCAGGCAGGGCAAGTGACAATTTCCGTGCTGCCAAAATGGGATTCCCATTTGCATGTCTGTTTTTCATGTTAGACTCACTTTTCCACAACCGACGAAGGCAAAATCCTCCGGAAGCCCAAAATTTTGGGACCAAACAGGTGATCTCTCTAGCTGCGCAACCGTTTTGGAAATCAGACACCCTCTGGAGTGCTCCACCTGACCCTTTTTGCGCAACCCTGCAAACCACCTCCCGACGAGCCCGCTCCCAAAAGTTGAGGCCTGATTTGGTTTTGGTGACCGAATTACCACGAATCATCGACCCTCACACGTTCGGGGGAATCCTTGTGGTGTTGATTGGGTCTTTGCAAGCACACACAACCCAAACCTCTCAAAGTGGCGGTGCTCACCCCGAACCCCCGGCCTCAGGCGGCTCCAAGCACGCTGCCACGCTGAACCTGGAGTCTGGGAGCCCTTGGCTACGAAACCAATTCCCCTTGCGCTCGCGAAACTGCAAAAGTAATGGAAGTCCATGGCAGCTCTCGGTTGAGGTCATATTGTTCGGGCGGTTGGCGTGGTACACCCGCTGCGTCTCCGTCTCACGGACTGTGCCTGTAGAATCTTGCACCCCCTGTTGAAAGTCGTAAAGTAGCCCATCGAGCTGTATTCCACCAGACGAGTGGCATTGAACACAAACAAAATCTGGCGAGGCAATCAATGGCTTCCCAACGCTGACCACCTCGCACCGGCATTCTCGATGCAATCGCATTGGCATAAAGCGTCCCACGGTCCGTGGTGCTGTCCAATGGCGGCCACGAGACAACGTTCGCCGAACCCAACTTCGGCGGTTCGGAACTCCACGTGGGGGATCGATCGGCTAATTGCTTGTCCTAAGGATCCAAGTGCTACCTGCGTAACTCTTTGCTATGCAAGTGGGTTAGAACCGGGGATTACTCGTGGTTTCCTTGTGGCAACTGTAGAACAACTTCAGGTGCAGGTAGGTGCCCTAGTTCTTTTCCGCCCTTGGAGCCGCTGCCAGGCCGGCTAAGTTTAAAAAGTCCCTCACTACCTGGGAGGACTTCAATGGCCTCCTGACAAATTCTGGGAGCTGGCATCAGAATCTGGCTGAAGGGCCCTAACACCAAGTTTCCACATGGATTGCTCTCATTTGCATCCAAAGGAGTTGAAAGCCACGGGCTCTCCGTGCACTTGGCACCTGGGTCAAGTAGATAGACCCATTGGAACCAGGACTCAAAGTAAGCCGGCAACTCACAGGGTGCGATCTGGTCGATCCGCTGCAAGTGAGTAATTCAAAGTGGGCAGCCCTAACATTGCATGTAAAGGTAATTTACGATTGGCAGGAGAGTCATGCCCTCATTCCCAACCGGTCAAGTTGTGAAACATGGACCTGACCACCCTTTCTGGGAGTGAAAGTACATCTATTGCTACCTTAGATGGCGCTCACAGCCATCTGATGACGGGTTGCACCTAAACATTGGGGGGGCGGGGCGGGGGGTTATGGAGGCTCCAGGCATTTTATTTTGAACTGTTGACCTCCCTCCTTACCCCAAGACAAAGATCATAGCAACTCGCTCGCTCAGTGGCCGTGAGCAACAAGACACTCTTGTGTGTTGTTGGCTAGTTGAAGTGGAAAACCCTCTTCAACAAACACCAGCAACGAGTGCCATTGGACGATGGGGACAACTCAATGAAGGTCAAGGGGAAGAGAGCTGGACCCGGAAAGTGGGACCCACCTGGTGGTGTTGCCTTAACAAAGCAACACACTATGAATTTCGAGAGAAGAGGCCCTGAATAGTGGTTTTAGATATCAATCCTTACCCAAATGCTGGCCACCTTGGCGTCCCTAGATCAATTCAAATCCTAGGGTTTGGGGTCAGGGCGGCCTTCTGGGTCCAAGATCAATTAGCCCTAAGGAAGCACTGGAGTCCGACCTCTCCCAACTCTCAACCCCTGGAATGCTACTTACTAATTATGTCCAGTCACCACTATAGTAAGTAGCAGTATGGTTGCCTCTAGGTCTTACCAAGCGTCCCTTGGTTACCTGCTTAAACGCAACTGGATCCACTGGGCTAGCAACTGGCTGGTTCTTTGCAGGCCCTGGGAAACTGAACAAGGCCGACAAGCAACGAAAAACATACCGTGTCTCCTCCACGTCCAACTGGTTGAAATAGTTGTCGGGAGTTTTGGGCCTTGTAGACTAGTCCCTGGGATTGCCCAAACAGTTAAACTGAGTAGATTTGGAAGAGGCAGGGAATGTATTGCTTTTGTTGTTGCTGTAAAACTGCTTATTTCAATCAGTTGGGTGTGGAGGAAGCTCCTTGGGCCAGTTGGCAAATTATTTTTTGCAAGCTGATTTCAAGGAACCCCCCCTTGTAAATCATGTGGCTTTTGGATGTATCCTTCTACTCAACTGAGCCTATACCGGAACGCTGAAGTACCTCTTTCCCTGGCCTCGAGGACTTCAGGAGTCCTTCTGCAGCACGTCGGCCTCGCCCGCACGGCGAGCCAAGACGAACCCCGACGCCAGTAGGGGGGCTTCTCAAAGTGAATCTACAAGGCCACACAATTTTATGGTCTGCTATGAAAACCCCCCACTTGGCCTCCTCTGGTGGAGTATTGGGATGAAACTCCGAAACCGACCAAACAAAGCAAAGCAAGTCGTACCGCACGAATCTGGAGAGGAGGTAGCCAGTCGATGCAGGCAAGCCCAGTAGATGACACAGTTCAAGCAACTGGGTCGCCAGGGTCCTCTTGCAAGCCTTTTCTAGCCAGGGTACATTACCCAGAAACTGGAGTGAGTTGAACAAGGGGGTTGCAAGTGGAACTGCCAAATCAACGACTGACTTCGCGCTAAGAGAAACTCACCTCATGGGCAAAAATGTGATGATTCATGGTGAAATTAAAGCAAACCCTGGACCTCCCCCATGCCAAACCTGTCTTTCGCTGTCGGGTAGGAATCACAAGGTGTTGGGAATGGACCCAATGATCCCCAGCAAACGACACCACAAGAGATGGTTCATAGTACTTAAATATCACTGGACATGGGGTCTTTGCCTCTTTCACTGCCCGATGCTTGAGCCTCATCTCAGCTGAGAAGTGCCAAGAGCTGTGGTGTTGGGTTGAAACTCTCCTTTCTGGCTGGTTGCTCTCAAAGGGAACCGGGTTGGTAGGTGTCCTTATTCCCTTCAAAAGCAACCAAAAGGGAGCAAGCCCCCAATATGGAACCACACCCAAACTATGCCAAACAAGCTGAAACCTAAGCTGACTGGACAACAGGAAGCAGAATTTGCAAATTTGGCCAAAAACTCATTAGGGCTTGTCCCATCAAGTTCGTCCTCCCATGCCCGCGCATGCACCAAGGGGTATTGGCTGTCGCAACAAGCCGCAAGCACGCGCCGAATCATAAATCCGAGTGGCTCTTGGTTTGTCGGGCTCGTCCGACTCGGCCATCAACTCAGCCACGCAGCCACGCAGCCACGCGGTGCCCACAACCCACATGGAACAATTGCGGGTTGGTCAGCCTCTTCTTGCGAAAACAAAATGATTTTTTGTTTTAAAAAGAAAAAAAACAAGCTGAGAAATCCTCTGGTTTTCGTCCTTGATGTTTGGTGAGTTCCCTTCTCATCCCGACCCCCAAATTGGTTATGCAGGCTGTGCTCCCATATGGCATCCAACAGACCCAGGGCCTCAAATCCCCAAACGACCAATCCAAACCTCAAATTAGTGTTCCCTCATCTACAGGTTACATGAACCAATGGTGTGGTTGAGGCAGTCTGTTCGCCAGAGAGCCTTACGGACCAGCAATGTTGTCGGTGAAGGAAATGCTCTGAAATGAACAGACTCCGTCCCATTCAACATGATCGTAACAAGTTGTAAGAAACTTGACAACACTGGTATAGGGCAACCAAAGAAAGCCAAGCAATTATCTACCCTTTTGACTTGATCAATATTTTTCTTGGCCCGCATCGGGGCTACGCTGAAAAAATGTGTTCAGGTTGTGCTTCATATTTTGTCTACCCTAGCATATCAAATAGTTTTGGAGGAGACTCCAGACTGGGATACCCATCTCAGATGGCGGTTCCCCTCTGGTTTCCTTTCGAAACAAGAGCAAAATATATATTTACCAACTGCAAAGAACACAGCTGAACTGCACGCAAATCCTGGTATTCGAGCGGTCTATACAAAATTCCTGGGAAATAATCCGAACGATATCCGCAAGTTTGACAGTCCCTAATCTTCATCTACCCTAAATGGTGTTGATTGTACGTCATCTGAAAAAGGTTGCACTATTGATCATTGTTGGTGCTTTAGTTATTGTCCTATTGTTGCCAAAATTGAACAAAGGTAAACAAAGGGACAATCAACAGACAAACATTCCCGCTTCACAATGTTCAGGTCGAAGGGCTTGGAAGGCCCTAGAAACAGTCCGAATCATGAGCTCAACTATTGGCCTGCCTTATGTATGCCCGAAAACTGAAACAGCTGGTTGTGGGCCCCACAGAAATAGTGGTGGTGTCTTTTCCAAACAAGCCGGAAAGGGTATCAAGCAAACGATCCCCCGAAACAACACGAACTGAATAAAACGAGCTGTTCCACGCTAAGCCAAGACGTCCACCTCAAGGCCATTGTCGTCGGATGCCAAAAGTGTCTGCAAGCTGGCAGCTGCTGCCTGGATAAGGCCGGACGAAAAGGGGAGCATAGCACCAGCTTGTTGCTGTCCCGCGAAGAATTCCACTGGCCTCCTCTCGCCGCATCATCGATGAGCCTCTCCTTTCCCGAAGCTTGCGTAATCACGCATCGCGGGATCAGGCGAAAAGGCTGGCCCCCGGCGAAGCGCTGAAGTTCACGCGGCCCTCCGCATAGCCTGATTTGCTGCGTTGTTGTGCAGGGAATTGCCTCTTTGTCTCCTCGGATGCATAGCCTTGATCACCAGAGAGCCCTGGCTGCGCCAGCTCGTCAGGTGGGGGAGTTTGGCACAGATGTACCGTGGTCAACACTTTCACTTGCTTGGGGTAGGGATTGTCATCAACCCTTTCAGAATATTTTAGCGGGGTACTCCGGGTACATCCGAACTGGAGTTGTTGACATTAAGCAGGCTTGACCATGGCATGTGTGACCCCTGGGCGCATGGACAACATGTGGTTTTCCTGAAAGGATGTAAACAAATTGGGTTGTCCCCCCAGTTGCTCCCTAAACAAACAGTAGACAATACCATTGTCTGCGAGTTCAATCACAATTCAAACACCTAGAATAAGGGATCCGCCGGTAAAGCACCTTCATCATGGTAAGCTTGTTTTACCGCCGAATCGGTGATCCCGGCAAAAAATACGCAAACAATATCGGCAGTTTGTTGGGTGACCAAAATGGGTTCTTATCAACGGGTTCCAGGACGCTCCACGCATGATTGTCCTTTGGTGCACGCGATCGTAAGGAACCCTTTAATTAGACCCCGTTCAACGGGTGCCCTGCATCAAGTACCAAGTGATAAGACTGACAGTTCCTCGTGAAGCGCGTCAAAACTGGGAACGGACCACTTGTCCCCCAAACCCACGTTAAGTGTCGCGCCATCTGCAGCGCCCGCCGCGCTGCCAAACGCCGCTCCTGGCAACTCAACTGGACTCGAGGCCGAGTTCTGGCGCGGCCGACCGGACACAAGAGAGGGACACAAACTCGCCTCGGCCCCCAGGGCCGGGAAGCGGTCAGACCCCTTCAGAACCTCTTCAGGATCTTCTTCACCACTCCCAAATTCCTGTTAAAACTGGTCAAATGCCAATTAACCCCCTAAAAACCGTAGAGGCCTGCCAAACTCGCTTCTAGAAACCTGTCAAAACCGGTCTCCCGTCAAATCCCCCTAGAAACCGTCAAAATCCCCAAAAACAAGCCGTCCAATACCCTAGAAATTTGGACCCGCACTTGGCCCACCATCCTGTAGCTCTCTGCGGCTCTCGGTCTGGCCCTTGAAGCCAGGTGGCATCGTGCGGACATGCGCCCACCCGCTAGCTTGGAAACCAGCTCACGCATTTCGGCGCCGACTCACTCACTTTAAGAACATCACTTCAAGGCAAACTGAAGCACAGTATATACCTCAAAGCCAGCCAAAAGCGGACTGGCCGAGGCGGGCAACGCGAAGCGTTTACAATTATGTTCTCGGCTTAGTCAAAGGGCGAAGACGTAAGAAAGGACCCTGCACCTGCAAGGAGCGCATTGTTCATCTTTACTCTTTTGGGAAGCGCGTAGCGGGTAAAAACGTCAGAGTCTGAACAGGTGCGAGGGGTCTCCCGAATCAGCAATGGCCCTGGGAGTAAGAATGAACAAAGCGCATTGTTCATCTTTACTCTTTTGGGAAGCGCGTAGCGGGTAAAAACGTCAGAGTCTGAACAGGTGCGAGAAGTCTCTCGAATCAACAATGGCCCTGGAAATGAGAATGAACAAAGCGCATTGTTCATCTTTACTCTTTTGGGAAGCGCGTAGCGGGTAAAAACGTCAGAGTCTGAACAGGTGCGAGTGGTCTCTCGAATCAGCAATGGCCCTGGGAGTAAGAATGAACAAAGCGCATTGTTCATCTTTACTCTTTTGGGAAGCGCGTAGCGGGTAAACACGTCAGAGTCTGAACAGGTGCGAGGGGTCTCTAGAAAAAGCAATGGCCCTGGGAGTAAGTTTCTGAACCTTCCAAGTGTTGGCTCTAAAGCGTAACCACAAGGAATGCCCTCATCCCAACCCTCCAAGGGGGCGGGCATTTGAACATGCCCCAATTCAGCACATAGAAGTGTCTCGTGTTCCGGCTCAAAAAACCCTTTCGGGCACCCTTCGCAAGGGTGCGTCTGCTCGTAACATCACCACGGAAACTCACCTCATGTAAGACAACCACAAAGGGACCCTGTGAATGCACTCCCAAACCACCCACGCGGAAATACGGAACAAAGCAGATGTATAACAAATACATCATATCTTCTTGAGGAGAGGTTTGGGGGAGGGCAACCCCTCTTAGACTTTCATCTTACTTGCCCAAAGAACCCTGTTTACCAAATTCTGAAACTGGAAACCTTGACTAAACTGGGTTACTCACAAGACTATGGCACAAGGGTGGAACATAGGCCTCCGAAGGCAAACTAGAGAAAAGGTCTCGGAGCAAACCTGCCAAGACACATAGGGAAACCACAAAGTCTGATCTGGTCGAGCAGCTTTGGGCTGGAAAACACACATTTTCCCAACAAGTGAAAGGCCAAACATCCACCCAACTAGCGGCAAGTCTACATGATCAAATCAACATGTGTCAGGGCCTCGGGGTCTCAACCCGGCAATCTTCTTCAAGCACCAGAAGGCTGGCCTTTTTCCAAAAGGCGATCTTCATAGGGCATCGAATGTAATAGCATTTAGTGAGTTAGTGAACAACACAACCATGACGAATGGATAATATGCAGCAGGCTCCGGATAGTGCACGGTTTATGTGGTGTATGTTGTTCTCTGTGTGGGTACCGCAATGGGTTGGGCAAAACAAGCCTGAACATATTTGGTTTGCCACTAAACTTGTCGCGCGCAAAACTGCACAAAGTCCGCAACCTCCAAAAGTCAGCATGAGTTTATCATTCTCAAAGCCAGCCCCAAGTAGGCTATGGGAAACAAACCTATTGGCTTCCGCCCGTCGGAACCCGCCTCCATGGCCAGCGCGTCCCGCATGATCCGCAGACGCTGGCGATGGCAGGTGGAACGCAGCATCGCCTGGACCTCAGATCGGCGCGTGGCGTGGAAGCCGAATGCCCACCCTCTATCTGGGGGCAACCCAAGCCCTGAGCAAAAGGTTGTTGGACGTTTTCAGGTTTAATGGAGAAGCCACTGGCCTTCCAAATGGAAAGCCCGTGGTCGTTTCCCGTGGCTATAAACATGCATTTAGAACCAATCTCTGAAATTGTTGGTCCACACAAATCCATGTAAACGTCCAAAAGGTCAAACACAAGAAAGGCACTTGTCCAATGGAGCCATGAACAAACGGTCAAACACAAAAAAGGCACTTGTCCAATGGAGCCATGAACAAACTGCCAGGGGATATTCGCTTCAGAAAATAGCAAAGCCAGAGGTGAACAGAATGCGCTATTTAAAGACCGTGTTACCAGCTTATAATTTGTGTGTGATGCATTTTTTTCTGTAGCTATGACGTATATGATGTTTTTGTACCCATTCCCCAAGGCTGAATACCCGTTTTGCCTTGAGGAAATCGAGTTGCACGGCAGATTTGGCTCTATGTCGAGAAATACGGAACGCTATGGTCTTGACACCCAACCCCCTTGCTTTCCACCTTCGTTCCCGCTTCGCATGTTGTCAAGCACTGCCAAAGGTAGAAAGGCGATTGGCTCCGGGGGGGGGCTCAAAGCTGACTATGGGCCCGTTAGAAGGGAAGACCGGAGGATGGTTCAACAGCTGGTCTTTAAACAGAAAGCCCTTGATGCATTTGGGTCGGTTCGCAGCCGTTGTTTAGCGTTCCCCTTTGGTTGCGGTAGAGGTGTCAAACTTGTTTCAATGGTGTCAGATGACATGCAAAGCTCCCATTTGAACTCGCCCCAAAACTGGCTGGGCCAAAGCCCCTGAAAATGGAAGTTCAGCTTGTTCTTTGCCTTGAGTTTCGTATTTCCCAAAAGTTGAACAGTTTGTTTTTGGCCCAAGCAGAACAATGAACAGGCCAAATGCAGCAAGCTAAGCCTCCCACGAACTCCATGAGGTCGCCATGCAGCACTGCTGCCTGGCAATCGATGGATCGATCGGATTCGCTGAAGAACGGAAGCGATGACCTGCGGCCGAAATGTCCAGTATCTTTCGGCATCCAAAAGGGATTGAAGGCCAAGGGCCATGTATTGTTGCAGGAAAACGGTGTGTGCAGCCTCTTTCCGTGTGTAGACGTTGATAACGTGTGGCAGCCCCCAAGCGAACTGCACACGAAAGTGGGCCAGCCGAAGCCAACCCACCCTCCCAAGCAAGGGCACTCAAGCCTCAAGTCATGGGGTCCCCGCCATGAGTCCCCAAAATGGGTCCCCCAAAAGTAATGTGCTCTTTGCTCAAATGCTACCTAAAAAGCGCTATTTAAACTCTTTTTGCCACATAAATCGACATTGCTCAAATAGTGACTAAAAAGCTAGATTTGCTACATTTTTTCCTCTGGGCACATGAACCTTGATGCTGCCACTTCATGTTCAAGGTCAGCAGAATCTGGGGCAATGGACAATTGGCATGATGACCCAAATGCTACTCAAATACTCCAAAACACATCCTAATTTGAAGATTTTGGTCGAATCTGCTCAAATGCTGCTCAAATGCTACTCAAATGCTACTCAAATGCTCCTCAAATGCTGCTCAAATACTCCAAAACACATCCTAATTTGAAGGTGTTGGTCGAATCTGCTCAAATGCTACTCAAATGCTACTCAAATGCCACTCAAATGCTACTCAAATACTCCAAAACACATCCTAATTTGAAGATTTTGGTCGAATCTGCTCAAATGCCACTCAAATGCTACTCAAATGCTACTCAAATACTCCAAAACACATCCTAATTTGAAGGTGTTGGTCGAATCTGCTCAAATGCTACTCAAATGCTACTCAAATGCCACTCAAATGCTACTCAAATACTCCAAAACACATCCTAATTTGAAGATTTTGGTCGAATCTGCTCAAATGCTGCTCAAATGCTACTCAAATGCTACTCAAATGCTCCTCAAATGCTGCTCAAATACTCCAAAACACATCCTAATTTGAAGGTGTTGGTCGAATCTGCTCAAATGCTACTCAAATGCTACTCAAATGCCACTCAAATGCTACTCAAATACTCCAAAACACATCCTAATTTGAAGATTTTGGTCGAATCTGCTCAAATGCTACTCAAATGCTACTCAAATGCTACTCAAATACTCCAAAACACATCCTAATTTGAAGGTGTTGCCCAAATTCAACGAAAAAGCTTTAAATTAGGTGTCCCAGGCGGGAAAAAAAAAAGAACACTCAATCATAGGATCCAGTCATGGGTTCCCAATGCTTACCCCCCCCACTCAATGTGTGCTTTTAAGCGCTTAACTGTTGGGGGACCCCTTTTGGGGACTCATGGCGGGGACCCCATGATCAAGCAAGACATCGAGATTGCCCACCAACCACCAAGCAAGGGGGGAAGAAATACATAAGTGGAAATCACATAAGTGGATGATCTGAGGGTTTCGGAAGACTACAGTCCTGTTGAAAACGGCCAGTAGACTATCTCATTTTGCGGACCCCTTTCTGGATAGTGTTCAAAAGGATGCAAAAAAGAAATCGGAAACAAACAATTACCATTCAATGCAGATCCACAACTCGCTTAGAGGCTTAATAATGCCCCAGGAAACTAGAACCCGGCAAAACCCACTCTATATACACTCAGTGGTTGCCCTTTTCAAAGTCACATGATGATCCGTTCTGCCAATTCAGGATGAACATGGGAGACTCAATACAGCGGACCCTATTTTCCATCTCTGAACCTGTTTATTGACTCTCATTGTACCTTTGGGTGTGTGGAACAGGTGAGAGTTAAACAAAAAAACAGGGCCCCCCAAAAGTTTCCCGCATCAACCTGGGGAGTCTGTGCCCAAGTGAGATCCTCCCTCACCAGTTGACCTACCCTCAATCAGCCAGGAGGAGTAGGAATAACAAGCGGTTTCCACTTGAGTAAGCACCTCTTTCCCAACATTTTCATGAAGGCGTGTTTACATTTTTTGAGCTGGGGAGCAGGAGCGCAACAATCATAAACACGCTGCTGTTTAAGCATCCTTGTGATGGCTAGGTTGTTTAGACCACCCTGCCAGGTCCGTGCTCCGGGGCTCCAGTGGGCTCCCTATTGCAACACCTTCCCACAAAATCAAGTCCAGGAAGTCATCGAGTAAGACCCGCGGGTGACCCTCTCCCCCCAACTTCCTCCATGCATTATATATGGGATGAACCTACCTGGCAGAACAAGTCACTTGGGGTGTTGCTATTTAGGGCCATACCGTTTTGCAAGCCTGTTTAAAAGGAACACAACATGGCGCCCAACCATTTTGAGGGTCCTATTTCGTATTTGGAGAAACAGTGGGGGTGCGCCAGCTTGTTGTTATAGCTCTTGCTACAACCCACATGAAATCAGGTAGGAACTGAACGGAATGGCCACCGGAAGCTTTGAGCTCTGCTCACTTAAACGGCCTAAAAGACAACCCCACTTGAGCAGTGCCCAAACACCATTAAATGTTGGTTCTACCAACACACTTATAATGGTTGATATGGGCTTTACCCACAATCCTAAAATTGCCCTTGTCGAATCTGCTTGGGGCGCCGCTCACTTAAAGCTTCTCAACATGGTGGACCCTCTTTTGGTTGGCCTTTCGGGCGAAGTGAAAAGGAAACCTACCATGTCAGGGGACCACGATGCAAACCCCAATATTGAACCCTTTTGTTTCCCTTTGGCCTTCCTTTAATCCGACCAAAAGGGGTGCCCTTGAAACATTATATTCTTCACCCACGCTTAGCACTGCTTTGAGCCAACAAACAACAGCAACACTTGCTTGGCATCGGCCATCGCCTCCTCTTCGAACTGCTCTTGCAACCTACGCGGCCCACAAATGCGATCCTCATGGGAGGGTATAGGATGGCTTCAAAAGCGATCCTCATGGGAGGGCTGGGGCTCCAGATTGTACCACTGCACCCTAATGAGGGACGCTGGAACTCTCAATTTGAAAAGGGGTGGTTCCCACTATAGTTGGGAATTTCCTGAAGGGTCCTGTGTCAGGCCAGTTGCCTTACTGGTGTTTGTCAGTGCAGAAGGCAGGGATCATTTCCCTCAAAGAAGCCGCCGTGACCCCGCGTAAATTAGGGGTTACAGGCATGTGGCCATTTCTATGATCTCCCCTACGACTACTCAGAAACTAATAATAGTGTGTGCCATCATTGGTTTCCGTTAACGCGGCCTTTGCCTCAAACATTAGGCTGCGAGTAAAACATCAGCTTGATTTACCAACCAACACAAAGCAAAAATCAAAGTGGGGGGCCTTAAGCTTGACGCTGTTCCCTATTCAAATTATGGAATGGGGGATTCAAACACGCTTCCAGGCAACTAGCCAGCTGTGAACAACAGACATGAGCCTCAAGGTATCAATGCCCAGGCGGGAATTCAGCTCTGGAGCAAGTCTCCAACCGGCTGCTAGTGTGGGAATCGCCCTTGTCTTGACGGTTCTTCTCAGGTACCTCGGCTTTGGCTTTGGACTAGCCGCTGCCTTCTCGCTTGGATCGCTCGTAATGGAAGCAATAGTGTGTTTGAGGTTGCTTTAAAGGGCAAGCGAAAGGCAAAACACCATTTCTGGGTGTCGCCGAATTTCAACATGCACAATGGTCGCGAGTCGCGTTGTTTTATCAATCATATAGGTTTCTTTGTAAAGAATTCACTGCAAATTCCCAGTAGGTGGGTGTGTTCTTACGAAGGTCCATGGACATGATGTCGTCCAAAGCAGGCTTAGTCTCATTTGTGTTTCACTTAGATAATGTCCATTATATCTTCATTCATGCAGAAACAAATACGTTGCGTAGACAAACTTGATCATATTGTCAAACAGGGGCCCTGAAAGTAGTGCAAGTAGAGCTTCAAGGAGGCTCAACCACCATGGGTGGTGCACCGTTGAAAAGGCCGAGTGGTAAACAATCCCTGTCACATGGCAATTAATCTATGACAAGAGAGGGAAATGGATAACTCCCTCAAAATCTGCAAGTTAGGGAACAAGTCGATCACCTACACAATTGCCCGTGCTCTTGTAATTACTGACCTTTCAGATGTTCACGAAATCCAATGTACTGCGCGGATTTCTTCTTCTCCCACCAAGGGCCTCGCCTGGGGATCCCTTAATAAGGCCGCCCTGAGTACGAGATTGAACAGACTCTCTGAAGGCCGTACTGAGACCTTGCCCAGCAATGACTGACCCACTCAACAACACAAACCCAAAAGGAGACTCCTCCACACATCGAAGTTTGGGGCTTCCTTCCGTTGAACTCCATGGGAGAACGCCAGAGCACGGTACTCAGTAAATGCTTTGTAGCCATCGTCAACATCCTTCCACTTACGGTTGTAAGTCCCCGTTCAGTCGGATACAAAGGTTTCAAACAAACTACGAAGCGCCCCGTCCCGCGGCTGCGCCTGAAGAGCTCGGAGCGGGCCTTGGCGGGCAGCTCGGCGAGGTCCACCTCCTGAGCCCCAAGCAATGCAGTTTGCACACATCCGGAGATTTCTCAGAAAACGGATGGGCCACACTTGGGGATTCATGTGCAAACTGGTTGTTACTCACCAGAATACTAAGTTTCAGAGTACCCAAATTTTAGGGTGGGGGTCCGAAGAAGGGGCACCACGTGTTTATCAGTCATGGACTTGGTGAATAATGTATTGTCAGTGGCTCGACTCATCTATCTGCAAGTCCTATTCAAACAAAAAACAAGAAACGGAACGTGAGATACATCATAGTGAGCTCATGTTAACTCCAGGCGAGCTCGCCATACAAATAGGCTTTTGGACCCCAAGCGTGTGGTGTTCCATTGGAATCCCGTTGAACCAAAAGGAAAAACAGTGCAGTCAAGAGAACACACGCACACCTGGGACCTGGCGAGGCGGGTCTTTGGCTATCAATGCCTGTAACCTATTAAACCCTTAGTGAGCAACGGTCTACATGGAGCTGCTTCCGATCCTGAATCCCACGTATGCCTGCAAAAGAAGAGCTTCTACACAACGTAAACAAGCAAGCGAGCCCTTCCTTAAGTTTCCATCTCTTTCCTCGATATATGCTGTGTGGGTCAGATCCTGTCCTCGTAGTCGTCATCGCCATCATCCTCGTAACTCGTGGAGTAGCCTGCCCAAAACATGCTGGCAACATCATTTCGGGACGGGGCATCCTCAATTTCACTCCAGTTTGAACTGGACACCGGGCAAGCTGCAGTGCATCCAGGCTCGCACCTGACGAAGGTGAAAGCCCTCCAAAACCATGTATATGTATATATATATAAATTATCACCAATCCGCCGACCCCATGCCTGGTCCAGAATGGACCAGGCTTTCGGCATGGGGGCGGTGTGTTCTGTGTTGCTTTGCTGAGATGTTTTCTATAGGTTTAATGTGAATATAATTATGTATATATATATATATACCTAGAGATTCGTTGCGGCAGAAATTTCTGCCGCAAATCAAAAAAGGCGCCTTTTTGGATTTGCGGCATTTCTTCCTGATTTGCGGTGTTTTCTTAAAATTGCGGCAGAAATTATTTTCAGGTTTTTTTCACCCCCGATTTGCGGCGGAAATCGGCGGGAATGCGGCGGAAATTCCCGGAAAACAAACGGTGTTGCGGCGTTTTTGTTTTGGTTGCGGTGTTTTTTGGGGTTTGCGGCTGATTTTCTGGAATGCGGCGGGAATTTCCGCCGCAATGCGTTGCGGCAGAAATTTCCGCCGCAGGAACTTCTAGGTATATTTATATATCCCTTAGGGCCGGAAAATTCGTCGGCTGGATTTCTGGATTTCTGGATCTCTGGATGTCTGGATCTCCCCCCCGTAAAAGAAGGAGGTGGCAAAATAGATCCTAAGTCCCTCCCTCCCTCCCTCCCTCCCTCCCTCCCTCCCTCCCTCCCTCCCTCCCTCATCTGCGTCTCTTCGTGTCTGCGAAGACCCCCCCCCCCTCCCTGCGTGTCTGTCTGTGTCTCTTTGCGTCTGTCTGTGTCTGTCTGTCTACATATCTGCGTCTGTCTGTGTCTGTCTACGTCTCTGCGTCTGTCTGTGTCTGTCTACGTATCTGCGTCTGTCTTCGTGTCCGCGAAGACCCTCCCCCCCCCTGCGTGTCCGTCTGTCTCTCTTTCTGTCTGTCTGTGTCTGTCTACGTATCCGCGAAGACCCTCCCCCCACCCCCTGCGTGTCTGTCTGTCTGTCTCTCTCTGTGTCTGTCTACGTATCTGTGTCTGTCTTCGTGTCCGCGAACGGGTCTGTGCACGCGTGCTTTCTCTCGCCCCGGGCCGAAATTCTAGGGTGTATGGGGGGCGGCGGAACCATGCCCCAGGCCAATAAATATCACCTACATTCCACAGCTGCGAGGACCCCTCCCCGCATCAATCTCAACCAAACATGATAACTATTTTGAGGCCGGGCGCAAGCACACATCAATGATGCAGGTTCGACTTCTCCCTAGGTCGACTTGGTTCTGTAAACCTTCCTGCAAGCAGTGAGCTGACCAAACCCGCATGCTCTTTAACCCAACCAAAAGGGTGATGGGTAAGACTCTCTCATTGCCCTCATGCCTCCGAAAAATGGGTGCTTCAGTGTCAGCTTCAAGCAGCAAACCCAGATTAATATGAACCCCGCTTTGCTGCACGGTTTTGCTCAAAGAGATGGCCGCGCAAAAACGCAGCGACTCCACACCACGCCTCACCACACCCTCACCGCCTCTGCTGAAACAACCTTTGGCACCCTCCCGCAGTTTCTCAGTTGGTGTCAACCCAACTTGCCCGTAAAACGGGGGAAAACTATAATACAATGCCCCAACAACTTCAGGATGTCCCAAGTTGTTCTATTTTCCAGTCACGGAAGTGGACAGGGAGGCCTCTTCAAGTGGACTGGTAGTCTTCAAAACCCAATGATTGTGGGAAGGAGGCTACGGCGCGGTTTTGGGAAAACAAAAGCCCCTGCAGTCCCCATTTTTGCTTGGGAGACACCCATTTCTGACAAACAAGGACCTGTTGGAGTCTCAATGGAACGACCAGAAGTATCCAAAAGATGCAATGTGTTTTTGTTTGTTTCAGGCAGCCAGCAAAGCCCAGCCAAAGAGCCATCTGCCTGGCATGGAGTACCACCTGCCCAAAAAACACCAACACCTGAAAAGGGTTAACAAGAACCAAAGGCTAAATCACGTGCTCAAACGGTGACCGTGTGTTTGGGGTCCCCGTGAACCGAAGCTCTGACTTCCCATTTCTCGCCACTGTCCCCGCCTCTTTGCTCATTCCCCTCCTCGGGTGACGGTATGGGTGGGAAACCTGGGAACTTGCAACATTTCCTTTTTTGGGGGATACTTTGGGTTTGTCTCAAGGGATATGATCCGAAAAATGAGTGGTTGGCTTCCTTTTGGGTTTCCTATCAAAACCAACCAACAGTGGGAACCCTCAAAACTGGACAACCTACTTCTTTCCAGGAAAATATGAACACACTAGCGAAACCAAAAAATAAAAAGAGCAATAAACTACTTTGAGTAAGGATGGGAAAGGCCGGGGTCCCCGCAGAAGATTTGGGCTGCGGCCATCCCCAAGGAACCCTTCCTGGGCAAAGCACGTAATCTCGCCAAATAAAACTTTGGAATCCCCGAGTAAGGGACCTTCATCATGCCCAGATTTGCTTGCTTGCCTCTGGTTGCTGATTTAAATAAGCAAATTGCATACATTTAGCCGCTGTTTTTTCTCATTGTCCGCCAGAACCAGAAAAGCAATCTCGGTGCCTCGTAAGTCATCAACCTGAAAATCAAGCGAATCCATCATCCTGGCCGCAAATCGGCTGCCAACCAAAAAAAACAAACTATCCTTGCAAGGCCACAAGTTCATTCTCCCAGAAAGGTGATTACGAATGTTGGGCCAACACCTTGTTTCAACATGTCTAAACACCCAACCCTGATCAGCTTATACCCTCTTGGTCGAGGCGCGGCAGCGGCCATGAAGTTTCGAAACTCCTCCTCCTCGTCCTCGCCATCCTCCGCAACGAGAGTCAAAACTGCGAAGGTTTCCCCAAGGTCTGGGAAACTCCGGGCACGTCCCCTGGCTGCTGGGGAAAAATGTAGACTTTGTCCATGTCCATGTCCCTGCCAAATGGACCAAAGACACCTGGAAAGTTTGAATGAGAACAAACCCCATCCCTTGGCTGGCAAAAACGATCTGCGATCTCACTCACTCCAGCCAGACAAGCGGTTCCATGCCCCATGAAGGTGTTTTGGGGACTCCTAATTTGGATGGCACCATTTCCCCACTTGGGTTTGATCACTCCCTCATGTACATAGCTCCTGTACATACAGTTCATAGCTCCCAAAGGGCTCAATTGCCCTTTGAGAATAGTTAGTGAGTCCTCATGGTTGTGGACGATGGGCCCCCTTCTGTGAGAGCATTGCGCGCTGTGCTGCATGCCCTCGTTTGTTCAACAACGCCATAGGCCATAATTGCGGTCCGATCCTACGAGTCCACTGGGTTGATTTATCCAGGGTCAGTACCGGTCACCTGTCAGACCTGCCCAAACTTAGAGACAGCCAGCCAGCTTCTACTATTGTGAGGGTGAAAAGAGACATGCAATCTTGGCCTGGGACCCACAACAAAACATATTCTGTGGGCGGCCGGCAGGCGCCTTTTGGAATCATTTTGTGAGCCACAATCAAGCAGCGTGAAGGTTGGAAGGAAGAGTTGTGCTCTTTGAGTAGACACCTTTGATACCAGGTTGTGATTGTGGCTCATCTGGATGTTCCCGGCTGAAAAGCGGCTGAATGAATCGATACGCGCCACCCCGAAGAATATTCCCACACACACACAGGGGTATTTCGAGGTTCCAGTATGATTCTAGAGAATCCTGCCTATCCACCGCTTGATGCCATCTGTGCGAGCTTGCATTTGAGACGCTGGCTGGTGGCAGTGGGAAGTATGCCTCTTGAATGGGTCACCCCTTGATGACAATCAACCAGGAGGGTCCTCAATCCTGGATTCCGAATAGCGGAAACACAGCGAGCCCAGTGACCTCACTTTGAGACTTAGGTTTGGATTTTCCCGCACCATTGGACCCATGCGGGTTTGTCTCAAAATTGTGGAACCCACAAAATGGTTGGCTTCTCTTTGGCGTCCCCTCAAACAAACCCAAAAGGTGTTGGACTCAAAAAGACACACTGGTTTCAGGTTCGGGCAAATAGCCGCGTTATTCACGTGTCATAGAGACTCCAGGGCTAATATGGCGTCCAAGGAAGGCCCGCGCCTCCAAGCCGTACTTGTAGTAGACCTAACAAATGGATGACCCAAACCCTGGCACGTGAGCAACACACTAAATGAACAGAACCATAAACCACAAACCAATTCAATAAAAAGCCAACATGCCCTGAGTTCAAACAACGTGAAACCTGACTGAAGGTCCTAGAAGACCGCTTTCCTCTCCAAAGGATCTTTGGGTGGCTTGAATAGCACAAGCATAGGGTCGAGCAAAGGTGCGAACACGCGTGACGTGACTGAAAGCAGCAGCAGGAACCTGACTCTCCGCAACTTTCCTGAAGCCAGCCGAAGCAGGACTACTCTGCGGCTTGAGCCACTTACATCTCTCTAGCCGCCGCTCATGTTGACCTGGGACCGATAAAGCGGCAGATCAAATGGCGAGTTTTGGCCCAACAAAGCGGAGGGCTCCCGCTTAAGTGGGACATTATCAAGCAGGTGACTAGCCTGGGTTATCATGAGCAGCAACAGGATGGTATCTTAGTCTTAAAAGGCCAGATTTGCTTTGTGGGTGTGAGTTCTGAGCGCTGGCTAGCTTGCCTTCTGAGTGCTTGCAGAATCCTGCAGAAGAAACATGCTGCTCTTGACAGTGACAGGGATCCTAAAGAGCTACACAATTACATGCCTACAATCAAACGACGTAATGTTGCATGTTCCTTACCCCGGTTGGGAACATTCGCCTTTCAGCTTTCAGCTGAGCACCCATCACAACTCCGATCAGTGAAGCAGGTTCAAAACTCAGTCCACTCCGACTGGGTCGCCCCCTTTCCGGATATCAACCAATGTGTAAGGTCACATTCAGGAATTATGTTGGCAAACGGCAAATGACTATAACTTCAAGGTTAGAAATCATGACTCCCGAACAGTATCAGGAACCCTCAACGAAGGGGTTTTGGTTCACGGGAGGATCTCGAGGCTTCTCTACGCCATCTTATGGCTGAACGAACCCGAGGAACCTTCATACCCAACCCTATCTGAGAACCCCCAGGGAATTCACACCCGGTGAACTTGCGCCAAGGGATGATAGGTCTCATTTGGATGCTTGACATGCTTGACAACAGGCTCCTACAGATTGCAGTGATTCAGACTCCAAAAGACCACCATGTTCAAAGGACGTATCTTTTGGGCACCACCCTGAGCCAAACCTCCCAGTCTGCTGCACTTCAACACACCATTCTCACCTCAAACTGAAATCTTTGGAATCGGCATTTGGTACAATATCAGTTTGGACATGCTGTGGTTTTAGTCTCATGCAGCTGTTGGTCTGCCACAAGCACGTGGCTGCTTGCGCAAAGCGGCTGGCCTGCTCAATGTCAAGGTCGAGTGTTTGCTCCTTCTCGGAAGTCAGGTACTCGTAGTACCTGCAACGCTTCGAACCTTACCCTCTCTCTTCAGAATTCTTCTCCAGAAAAGGTCAAATGCAGGAAGCAAATGGGGAATCAACCCCGACAACTCCGCTTCCACTGGCTTCAACCCTCAGACCGCCCATACCAACTTCAAAGTCATAAAACCCGGGAAAAAAGGCTAGGTTTCTGAACAAGTGAGTCAAAGAACTCTGCGCCTTGTGATTCTCCTGACCCAGCTTCTTCGACATCAAATCAAAATGGAACACCACAACACATGCTTGGGGTCCAAATCCCTATATTGCAAAATATCCATAAGGCCCCAGAGAACCTTCCTTATTTCAAAGCTATTCCGACAAGGGTGATATTTGAAACCAAAATAAGGGGGCATGTGGGGACTAACCAAGTGCTTAATAAAGGTAAACAAAATTATGGCTTGCCTTCAAGCACTGGGTCAAACAGATACCAGGCGCTATTCCATGCGGCCGTGTCTTCAACATAGGGGGAACCTCAGACGGTCGCTTTCCTTGAGTTTCCCCGTTAGCAGCCACCCCAAGACGGGCACCCTCCGAAAAAGACACGCCCAGCTCCCCTTCGCTCACTCCGCCAGGACGTCCGCCAAGGTCCAAAGCCCCCCGTTCTCCGACACTGAGGCGTTGGCGTAGTCCTCGCGTCCGCCCGACCCCGGCAGCCTGCCCGCCCCCTCCGAATTCCCTTTGCTGGTAGTGGATTGGTTCCTTGAGACAAACTTGTAAGTGGCAGGGCCGTCAGGTGAGTGGCTCGAAACCTTGCCTATAACCCACTGAACGTGGATTTGCAGCATAACGTGTCCCCTTAAGTGCTACCTGCCCCCTGGCACAAATACCCACAAGTTTTTGTTTGGCGCCGGGGGGGGATATATTGAAAAACCTGAATTGGACTGTGGATATGCGTTTGCTAGTCAGGGGATGCCTCGGGTTGGGGCTGGCGCCATGAAAGTTGGTGTTTGGAGTGGGGGGTGGCCAGTGGCAGGCTCCTAGTTGGTGGTTGGGTTTTCCTGGAATTTGCAGCAACATCTCAGCATTGCCGCGGGTACACATGTGGCACGGTCACAACTCCTTCTATCTTAACAAACTCTCCACCCCTTACCTCTCAACAGCCCCTCCCTTTGCCCCTCAGCTCGAAAATGGCATCTTTGTAGCACAAGTCTAGTACGCGGAGTCTTTCTTCCACAGCTCCAGCTCGAACATCGCAACTTTGTAGTACAAGTCTAGTAAGCGAAGTTCGCTTCCGCAGCTCCAGCTCGAAAACCGCAACTTTGTAGTGCAAGTCTAGTACGCAAAGTACACTTCCGCAGCTCCAGCTCGAAAATCGCAACTTCAGGGCTATCGGTTTCGGGGGGATTCTTATCGTTCTACAGGGTGTTGTGCGGTTCGGACATGCAATTCAACCGCTCTTGATACAGTCGTCTTCGTAGGTGTTGGCCGTGGCTCATATTTGTAAACATATATATATATATATATACATATATATATATATATACGTAATATGCTCGCAAACGCGTAGAGTGTGCGTGTGTGTGTCTATGTATATAATATACATTAGTGTATGTACTGCATACTTACAACTATACATATACCATATAAAACCTTGCGATGATTGTCTATGTACTAATGTAAGCATAATGTCTCTCATGGTTCCAAGCCCTCTGATTCCTTTCTGTGCAGTCTGTAACTGTTCCCTCCCCGCCCCCGCTGTCCGAGATGTGGCTTTCGAAGTGCGGCCCACCAATCTCCTCGCCAGCGCCGAAAGACACTGAGGAAAGTCTCAGGGAAAGATTCAGATCCGTAGAAAGTATGGGGAAAATACCCCTAGAAGCTTGCCCAACTGGTGGCTTTGGGACCTGACAAAACTAACACTCAGTGCGGCCTTGAAATGGGGGGGGATCAATTGCCGGCTCAAATCGCTGTGCTTTCAAAGGAGCTAGCTTAACAAAGGCCCATGCAGGATTCATGCAACTGTCAATGTCCCAAAACAGCATGACTCAAAGGCATCAATCAGCTCGCAAGAAACAGCCTTTTTGAGCACCGATAGCATATTCCTGCCAGCACCATCCCAATGTCTCAACGCTAATTTTCTGCACCTGCTCAAGGTTCAAGGTTCTTGTCACTTTCGTGTTGAGTTTTGGTTTAGGCAAGTCCCTACTCTTCTGCAAACCCGTTAATGAGCATGGAAACCGCAGGCAGCCACTAGCGGAATCTCCGTTTCGGAAAGCCCTTCTTGAGGTTCCAAGTTGATAGCTTTGTCTTTTGGGGAAGGTGGGTTCCATCTGCGAGTCAGGCAGGGGTCACTTTCATTCTCCAAAGGTATATCATGTGCTAGCTCTGTGTGTTGTGCGAGTTGGATCTATGCATGGCTGCTACCTTACAACAAACCCTCTATCTTTCGAACGGTTTCCTCTTGTTCCCCACAAACGGGTGGCTAACGATCGACCCAGGATAACTGCCATGACTGCATCTTAATCAAAGGAAAGTACATGTACCAGGCGTCCGATGATCATGGCGGAGTTCGCCTTTATCATACCCCCCCAAACACCATTCTAACTACGTAGGCCCTGATAGTACCCTACATGTCACTAAACATGAAACCCACCAGAAGGTCGGTTTGTCGTCACCATGGCCCTTAAGTCACAATGAGCACCTGGAAAACTACCAAACACGACCATGAAAAGAAACAGAAAGGCAGCCGCACCGAGTTCTGGCTGGGGCTGTCCCTTCCTATCCGGGTTTTGCTTGTGGCTCCCTTTCTCAGTGGATTCCACCCTCCAAATCCCTTTTGTTGCGTGCGCTCCCCACTTCAAAGGTGAACGACAGAAGGGGATTCCCTTTGTCTATCATTGGTTGGCCGTCTTTCGGGTCTTTGGCGGCTGAGGTTGGGCAAGCCTCCTGGCGGCGGGCGACCCTCCGCAGAAGCTCCATGACCTCCTCCTGGCGAAGAGGACTGAACAAAGAGGCTCCGCTTGCAGAGGTTGCTTGAGGAGTCGTTTCAGGTTGTTAGGGGTTATCAAGGTTTATTGGGGATCATGAGTGGTCCGTGCTTGAGCCGCGATTGCTTGAACCAAGCTCAGTTGAGCTTCCCGTCAATTGGTTCCTGGCCACTGGTGGTGTCTAGCAATCCTGCCACCCGCCAACCTCACTTGTACGAAAACCGATAAAGCAGTCCATCTGCACCCATGATTCAAATTTGACAACCTA